CTGGCAACAAAAACTAATCTGTCACAGATTAATTACATTTAGCAATCCTCATTCCTGGGAATTTAAACGAAAATTAAGATTACTATTAATTTTTCTTACTAATACAACAATTTTTTTCACATCTTCGCCAGAATCTCTGCCACGAGTCTGACACGTTGTCATGTGTTAAGGTGTTAAGCACCCCGCACACTTATAGAAAAATCGCTACGACCGAACGTATCTACTTAGAAGCTGTTGGATTATTTCTAACAACACCCTATGGAAATAATCAAGTGAGGAAAAAAATGTCTCCGGGTTATTTTAAACAAAGGCACTAAGACTTCCACCAGATGCATCTGGTGTCCGTCTTCGAGTCACTCACTGCACAATGCCATACCATAGTGTAAACAGTTTCTAGGTATAAGGGGACCCCAACTTTCTTTTGGGTGCCCAGAAACAGTCCTTCAGAAGATTCAATAGAGTAAAGACGTTTCCTCTGAGACCGTAAATAAAATCGTATATTACAAAGATAAAAGACTATTTAATTCCATAACCCATTTCCAATAGAAGCTAAGTGCTTTAGAACTTGCAAGATTTCGTGTACAAAATTTAGTAAACTAAAATTGTTATTTTCCATTTAAATTACCAAACACGGGAATCTAACAACACTGTAATAGGAACACTTCGTCGCTGTTTATCTCTACAATTTTTCCTGCTAATAGTCTCCAGTTCGAGGAATTCTTTGACGCCGTTTTAAACGTTCCAGCGTGTAGCAACGTGGAAAAAGGAAGTGCAACATAGAGTATATACACGATCGCGTGAAAATGGCAAGAAGCGTGGCAAAGAGGCGCACATGCGGATGATTAGTACGTTTCCTCGCGGGAGAAGAAACAGGACCGCAAGAAGTCATACTGGCAACAAAGCGAGTCAGCGAGGAAATACACGATACCAACGGCAGAAATGGTACTGAAAGGAGGCCTACAGTTAGGTAACATGTGGTAAAGTGACCATCTGTCTAGGAAGCAACTACCGGTCAGAATGGCAGCGAGAACAACGACATCCTCGCTCCTTTTCTCGTCATCTGTCTCGGTCAGTCCTTGCCATGCAACAAGGTGGATCATTATGCGCGACCACTTTCCAATTCAGCCCGTTCTATCGTTAATTATACTTCGATAGACGCGATTTCTTGCAAACGAGTTAAAAGAACTGGCCCCCGATGCTGCTACCTTAAATTACTTTAACGAGAAATTGATTTACAACTCCGTTAATGGAGGAATTGAAACTTGCTTTGTACATTTTCGAGTTGAAAGAATTGGTCTTGAAGCGTCGTTAAATTAGATGCTACATCTAAGTTGAGGAATAGGAGTTACTATGTATTTTCTTCGAGACAAAAGGAAAGAGAGTTACGGAGCTAAATTTATAATTTAGAGACTGGTGGATCGGGAGATAACCTCTGCCTTCGTTTCACTGCCTATCAACAGGAGTCTCCGGTTAATGGTATTTAAATGAAAACGCGTTGCTTCTTTATCTTAGTGGTTAAAGGATTAGTGGTAAAGGACGCGTAATATGAATTATGTTATATTTACTTCAAGAGGGAAATAGTCTTGTTGAGTGACCAATCTATTGATTCATTCACTGATAAATGCGAAAGAAATTAGTCTTACTTGTTTTCACTCTGACAAGGGAATGATCGTTGATTTTGATGAAACTTTGGTATATAGTAGTGAAGGGGTGAAAATCGCCTTGAAAGTTAGAGATAGTAAACATATTTAGTCTAACATCTCGGAAACTATTAGAGATAGAGGAATGACAAATGGAATTGACAAATAAAAAATAGTAAATAATTTTGAACAAATATATTAATTACCCTTATCTTTGAGGGCATTTTCACTCCTTCGGTGTGGACGATTGACGATAAAGAAAAAAATTTCTTTCAATACTACCGTGTACCAAAGTATCATCAATATCGGTGATTATCACTTCGGGATGTTCCCTTGTAAGTTGAACTTTCTAGAGGAGACTTACCTACAATTAATCGCCCTGTAACTAAGGGTCACAGCAACCCTCTCCCCATCGAATAGCAATATTTTAAAATACTCCTCGGAACGGCGAAGCAGAGTTCTTTCTATCCTGGCGATCGAATAACTTGCGTGTTTCTGTACGTCCGAAATATGTTACTACTTATAAATGTTTCCAACGCGGATTCTAACAGTCCTCGAAGAAAGAAAACCTCCTCTTCCTCGTACAATTCTTCCTGCTAACGAAAATATCTGGGATATTTATGCCAGTCCAGTTAAATGGAACTCCCTGTAGAAGACAGGTGGGGCACGATAAATCAGAGTAGATAGTCATCGTTCAGATGAAGGTAGAGATTGAACGCTGGACGACGAAACCGCGAGCTTCTCGTATTTCATGGAATTCAGCTGACCAACGACAGCAACAGAGGCAGTAAAAGGTGTTTGCTTTTTAATTGTCGTCGAATTTCCCCCTCGTCACATCGTTGAATACCTGGATTTCGACGTTAACGCCGATCTTCACGGTGCTCAATCGACACACCGCGGCGAGGAGTTTACGCCTCTAATCGTAGATTACTCGCGAAGGTGTGACGATCATCGGCTAATCCACACGCGGCTCGCGTAATTTCGGTTAATTAGATTCGAAGGTCTGTCGGGGTACGTGACGCGAAATCTCGGAATTTCGACGTTCCTTGCACGAAACGGCGCAGTTAAACACAATTATTAATAATACGCGAACATCGTTTAGGCGGACGTCTGATTGCCGGAGTTGGCTATGGAAGCTGTTAATCGTTAGAAACGCGGCGAGATAAATTGAATAACGGTACCGGACGAGGAGGAAGAGAAGCCTTTTGATTTCGCGTCTCTTTCGATAGCGAGTTTCGCAAGAGACGCGTAAGCAATTGGAGAATGTGAAAGAAAGAAAAAGTCACGACTAGTTGCTGATTTTATGCTTGAAATCGTATTCAGTTCTGGTGGTTCCGTGAATCTCGATTTCTCATCGCGAATATTTCGACCAACGCTAGCGTTTTCTCCGTGTTTCCTCGGTTAACAAAGTGAAAATTGCAGCTGTTCCCGATTATTATTGAACGCGTTATTACCGAGCACAAACAGAACGAATCGGTAAATCCGTGGTGTACGAGGCGTGAGAGTACTGTCAGACCATAATTTGCAAGGTTGCTGGCCTGAAGGCTAAGGGGGGAATTTGCTGTAACCGTGACGATGGAACAGGTTGCCGCGATTCTTAACTATTATCAGTCTGCCGAAAATTCTTCGTTTCAACCGTGAGACTACGTCTAAATGCTAGGCCAATTTTCTCTAGTACCTTTTTGTTTTTTTATCCTAGGAAGATCATGGCTTAGTAGCTGGATTCTTTATATCTCTTTACACACTATTGGAAAACGTATTCTTACAGGTTAATTAGCGGTAAAGATGGAATCACAGCGTTACGGACTCGTCGAATGCATGTTGTTCAATAGAGTGAAGACTGAGTAGGACCTCCTTACGATCTGCAACAGGTATCGTGAGGAAAACACTGATGTAGGTACGTGGGTCGCTTGAAGGGGTAATCCCATTTGGAGGCGTTATTTTTAGGCGATTTTTAGGATAACAAATTATTCGATAATTGTAAATTAAGGGACTTGAAATTTTTCATACACGTTTGGTCGTGTTTCAGGAAAATACAGTGTAATTTTTACGTAATTATCTTAATTATTATTCAAGATATTACGTATTTTCCGCAGTGTGCTATTTTAAATGGCTGCCTTGATTCACGTTGTTGTACTCGTTCAAAAAAAAAAAAATCAAGGATAATCTTAATCCATATGAGTATTGTCATCGTTCTTACTAGACTATAGCAAAAAATAAATGTATTTTGGCCAGCCATGTAAAGCAAAAATATTTGTTTTCTCGTAAAAGTTTTAACTTCTTCAGGTGATAAAAAGAAAACTATTGCAGACATTGACGTAATTCTAGTACGGACCATAAAGGGATATCTATTTTATACGTATGTAAAATTTGGGAGAGATTAGTTGATTCATTATTGAAAAATCATGGCAGCCAGTTTGCAAAACATTTACGAAACACTTAGCGTTTCTAGCAGTGCATCACTTTCTTAAAATCGCTGTAACTTTGTCATTTCGTCGATTTCACGCGTAGAATGTTAGCAACACATTTTCAAAATATTATACTTTCAGAAAATGTAATAAAAAAAATCGATTTTTTCGCTCCTCCAAATGGGAATACCCCCTTAAGAAGTTGTTGGAACGAACTGTAGGTATGATTTAAATAGACTAGGTTAGCCAGAAATTACTAAAAAAAAAAAAAGACTAAGATAAAGTCTCGACAGAGTATGAAACTTCTAAAACAGTAGGAACTTTAGACGAACGCACATTTCGTATCTTGATCGCGTATGACTTCCGTGTGTTCCCACGTTAAAAAATTTCTCGGTACAAAGAAGTATTTTAGCCAAGCAATGAAGCGAAAGAAGACTGTTTCGCAGGTTTCGAAAACGATACGAGTAGTTTTTCCACTCGGTTCCAAGAACTCCTCGAAACGACCCAGGAATATTGCACACTTGGTCTACGTACCGCGATAAAAGTCTCCAGAGATAGTACATAAAATACGCCAGCCTTCAACGTAATCGACTGTCTGGTGAACATGGTGGACAGAGTGAAGATTTTCACGATACTAGTCAAATGTTCGTGATTCCAACCGGAGAGCCACTGACTCCTGTCTATCACCGAACTCTGAACCGACGGTTTACGATTGAGAATTCGTCGTTTCGAGGAAAATCGTCCGCGCTTAATTGATCGATCCGTCTAATTAATCCTTACCGAGTAGCTCAGCTCGTTCCCCAGCCAACAGATGTACAACAGCTGAGATATGGCCGCGCTCAAGTAGATCCCGAACTTCATGATGTCCGAGCTCTGCCCTCCGACCTGTTCCCGCACGATGCAAATCGATCACGAACTGATAGATCTACGCTTCTAGCATCGCATATCTTACCACGACAGCTTGGAAACCAGTTAAGCAAATAATCGAAGTGCTGGAGATCATCTGGACGAACATGCTCGAGCTGTAGATTCTGTTGTAATCTTTGGTTATGGAGATCAATCTCTGATGAAATTGCAGACAGGTCTTGTAACGACGAAGAAACGTGTTGTCGTGCGTCTTGTTAATTCGATTGGTTTCTGTCTTGAAAATTTCATCGGTCTACAAAGACAATTTACGTATATTACATACATGTCCATTGATTAACCTTCGGACGGCGGATGTTGGGTCACCGATGACCCGGCTTTTACATGTCTCTGATTCTGTTTCGAATTCCGGTTGAAACAACTCTCCTCGTGTTACAAATATGTTTGGTACGTTAACACTAGGTTCACGGACATTTCTTTTACACCTATCTCTATGGAGACGCGTGAAATTGACGCGTGAACGAAACCGCACATTTTCTTTAACCCTTTCATTACTATTGGCGCCTGTAGGCGTTTTGAAAATTTGCGCGCACTAATAATTTCATAATTTCATCCTTACACACTTCCAGCTTAATTTAATAGAGCGAATTTTCAAACGATACGGTCAAATGAACAAATTTTGCAGCCGTGGTTAAAAATTTATCGTCAGTCACCCACGTTACGCCTTAAAATCTCCCGTAGCGAAAGGGTTAAGAAACAACCTATTTTACTTAAAAACAACAGATTATACGCTATTAACTTATAAATGAAACTCTGTGATATTATATATTTGCATAAAATTTATAACAAGTGGTAGGAGAGAAATGTAAACGGTTTCTGTAATTTTCCTTGTGAAATTCGAAATGCGTCAAAATGGCGCGTCCCGTAAACCTATAATTTTAATCATGATATATTTGAATGATTTTAAACAATACAGTGCTTAGTAAAATAAGAAAATGTAAATTCGTACGAAAACGATTTTAGCATTGGGTCATATTTGACCCGCAATCGAAGAATATCGTGCCATCCGTTGTCCGAGAGTTAAGTGAAAAATTGAAGATTAGGTTAGGACATTTACGTTTTTATTCTCCACTTGACTAGTACACTTCTCAAAAAGTACGTTCAACATATCGAACTGAGCAGTGATCTGGCTGCACATCATTGCAGTGATATTGTCCATGGCAACTATGCTCAATAAACCACCAGAAACAGCAAAAGTTTCGACAGCCAAACCAATCTCTCGGAAAGGAGATATAGTGGTGTTAAAAGGATACTTTGCTCTGATGGGCAAACCGTTCTGCAGAGGCGAGAAAAATAGCAGAGCTATTCCTAAAACGCATCCTAACATGCTGAACCCGTAGAAAACTACTTTGTTAAATTTATAGTATCGGTTGATGATGTATTTATTCGTTTCGGTATCTATAAGGAACGACGTACGATTAATTCGAATTTACAAACAAGCCAAGAAGGTGTTTTCTAGCTGAATTGTTCGAAATATTGGTATAGTCGATGGAAGAAATATAGCAAGGGTTACATGTTCGGTATTGATAACAAAATTGAAGAAAGTAGAGGACAAAATTGACGAACACCCCGTTAATGCTGTTGTATAACCAACCGTCTATTGACATTGAGTCACGAAGTCATTTTAAAGATGAATCCTGTAACGTCGAAAACAAGTTACTCATCGACTCGCTGACTGTCCCTTCAAAGTCCTGTTCAGCAATTCGTCACCAGAACCAAGTTCACCTTCTCCCCCAAATCCCTTCCTTGTAAGTACACCCGCAAAATCCCTTAGAGTATTGTGGGGGGTTTTGGTATGAAAGAGTGAATGTGAGAGAGTGGTGTGAATGGCCTGGAAAGGAAGAACGAATGGAAGACAATCGTGCGCGGCGCATTTGTTATGTTTAGACAACATGGGTTGTAAAGCCGATCGCGGCTTGTGTGAGTGTGTGTATGTGGATGCGTGCGTGGAGAAGAGGAAGAAGAGTGTGAGGTGTGTGTGTGGGAAAAAAAAACGAGAAGCATCGAGCCGGAAGAGAGCGAATCGGAGCAACGGTAAGAAGAATAAAAAAGAAAAGATTATAAGTGAACAGCACCGGCGTCGCGTGGGGTTACTTTTATTCTAATAATCACAAAACTATTTAACCAAATCCCACAGTGTCATTATAGAAAGCAAGCTAGTACAGTTAAGAGCGGTCGGTCTAATACACGTCGCAGCAAAAACCAACGTTCTCTTCTCTTCGTGAAGTTCGCGCATTGTAATACAGAATCTGCGTGTGCAAGTATCATCGCCCAAAATAAACATTATATTGCTAAAATATAATCGGTGTCCACTTTTCTACCCGGATTCCAACAATGCTTTAATTTACAACCTCGCTATATTTCTTCCACCGACTATACAACGACGTGCGCGAGTCTAGCAGAGGCGTTGCACGTTGCGAAGCGCGTATACAAAGTGCGACAACGTGAAATGTGCCGAGTAATGCTGAATAAGTCCCTGTTGGAAGGCTCGAGGGAGAAAAGCTATGTATACAGAGAGGGCTGTGAAAAAATGATCAAGCGGAGCTGAATCAACGACGTCAGGTCGCTTTCGAGATGTTTAGACGTTGGAAAAATATGTTGCATACTTTGTTTTATTTTTTAAATGTAGGAAAGTATTTAAGAAGAGGTCGATACTCGAGGTATCGATTGTCAAGTGTGCTGAATGAGTTTCGAATAATGATTTTTTTTAAAAGAAAGTCAGTTACGTTAATGACGTCAGAAATTTATGTAGCGCGTGAAGTGTGAAACACTATGAAAGGAGGATGTTCAAAAATGGCCATTTTTGGCTCCGCGTGGAAACGGATGCAAAGTCGGCGAACGCGTTCTTAGTTGCTCTTTTCATGTAGCAACTCAAGTTTGCTCGATTCATTTACCTGCAGATTTTCTCAAGAATTATTTTCGAGATGGATCAATATCTGCAGAAGATGAAGATGAAACCTGCCATTTTTTTTAAATTTGCACTTATTTTTCACAACTTTCCCATCACATTTCGGATAAATGCTTGTAACATTTTTTGTTCCTTGGAAGGTACTCTAAATGTCCCGCAAGAATTTTTCGTTTCCGCACGGGGCCAGAAATGGCCATTTTTTACCATCCTCCTTTAAAAGAAATGCGAAATACCTGTACCACGTTATTAATAAAAATTAATAAAGAAAGCTGATTATATCACATCAGACCATAAAATTTCGCGTCATAAAAAACATTCATAATGTCCTCTTCAGTATGATTAAATCTTTACGATCTCCAAGATACACGAGATAGGTTTTTAATGGTACTACTTACTGGAAAATCTGCAGAGATCATCAGCACAGTTCAATATGTCGTCGAGCAATTTAATTATACTTTTCTGATGAATTTGGTAATTCATAGCCTTAAAAATCACGACGAGTATTCCAGCGAGGAAACAACCGTCGTCGCTAATGATCGATAGGTTGTCCATGTTCTCGTAGATGTCTGCGAATATAGTGACGGCGAATACGTTCATCATTATGAGTATCCATAGTTTGTACGCGAAGTAAGCGATTGTCATAAACGACGAGTGTTTCGATTCAATTTTCCAGAGGCCACTGTATCTGTATGAAAACACCAAGACCATTTTCTTTGTAAAATATTATCAGTCATTTTAATATCGTTCAGAAAAATTATTAAATTATACTCATTTTGGAAATTATGCACTCGTGAAATTATTCGAATATATCGACACAGTTCTCACTTTATGTAACTTATTTGTACATGAATCAACTGTCGAAATGATCTCATCCATTCGTGGCCAGGCACATAAGCCATTGCTAACCCATCTACCTACGACTCGACGAGTAGAAAAGTTCTTCGAGGTAGGGTTGAGTCGTATGAGTAGGAACGGTGTGTACTTTAACCCTGACATGTTATCAAGTGGTTATTTTCATTCAATCTAACACGGTGCCTGTTGAGAAAATTGCGGATAAACGGATGCGATTGCACGCTCGTTTTTCGGAATTATAGACTCGATCATGGTGCACGTGTTCGCTCCCCAACTCACTTCCGCGAATGTCGATAAAAGTGAGGGTAATTGCATACTGATAGACCAGCAAAGGCACGTTTTACTACGCATTTACATAAAGAATAGAGATACTGTAAAAGTACGTGTTCCGTGGCAATCCTATAGAGTATTGCAAATGAAACAATTCCGACTACAGTAGCAAATGAATGGTTGTTCTGGTAAGAAGAAACGAAAGTGATGGTTAAATGATCAATTACATTGACAGTCTTTGGTTAGTCCGAAGAGAAGAATCGTATGGAAAACGTTCAATTCAATCGTGTTAAAAGTTGCAAGTTGTGAAAGAGATTTCAAAATATTTTCAAGCTTAACGCCACAAGTATCGTCACAGGACCACATAAAAAGTACTATAAATTATTTAAAAGACACCAACCTCTATTACGAAATTTAACTACCTCAATGTGAAAGAAAATCGATTTAACACTTTGGCTGCGGCAGATTTTAGTACGTAACGCGTGTTGCAGTCTGTAGACATTCGACCGCAGCCGCAAAATCTTTTGTTTCGCCCGTGTAGTTTCAAAATTTGTTTAATTAAATTAAGGTGAAAGTGCACAAAGGATAAAATTTAGAAGTAAATCAAGGTGGAAGTGTGCCAAAAACGGCAAACAGTACAGCGCGAGAAAATTTTCAAAACGCCTACAGGCGGTAACAGCAACGAAATAGTTAATCGTTTGCAAAACAGTGTTTAGAAAAATTGCAAAAGAATTTGTCAGAAGTGGGATTCGAACCCACGCCCTCAGAGAGGACCAGAACGCCCGAGAAAACTCAGTTTTAAACTGAGGAGGTTATCATCACCTTGAGTCTGGCGCCTTAGACCGCTCGGCCATCCTGACATCCGATTGCCAAGTCTTTTAAAATTCATCACACAGTCTTCTTTATATTAAAAGCACAGTATATCGTACATTATTGTTTATCGTACAAGCAGGGCCAAGTAATTTTCCTAAATTCTCCTAGCCACTTTTTTTTTTTTTTTAACATACGTTTATTCAAAATTGCCATCAGTTTCAGTTTTTACAGTTATACAAAAACATATGAAAAATATAACAATACATTTGAATTTTAATAGTCTTATAGCTATATACATATACACTTAAAGACTAATCACTTTGGCTTGGTTTCCATGTACATTTTTGCGTGTGGCGTATTGAAGTGTGTGAAATGGGGTTCTGGTGCTGGCGTGCGTGTTAGTTGCATAGGATTTTGATCTTTTTGCGTGGGTGTGTGGTGAAGTGGTGTTGTGGAAGTTTGTTTTGTGCCGGTGATTATTTTGCTGTATGAGATTTCTGGTTGTACAAGTTTGTGAATTTTTGCTATTTTCTCGTTTCTTGTTTCATATTTGTTATTGGTGTAGTTCTGTGATTGTTTGCTTGTGTTGTTTGGTGTATGGGCAGCCTCTGTACGAAGCTGGGTGACCATTTTGTCCGCAGAGAGCGCATTTGAGTGTGTTTAGGTTTGATTGTGGGGTTGTGATTTTGCAATTACCGGGTTCGTGGTTTTCGGCGCATTTTACGCATCTATATTCTAAATTACAGTTTGTTGATGAGTGACCTATTCTTTGGCATTTCCAGCATTGGGTTATTTCTTTGTTTCTGAGTTTCTCCCACCTAATTGACTGGTGCAAGATTTTTTTAATTTGGGATAAGTTGTTTAGATTACTGTCGGCTGTTAGGTGCACTGTGTAAATTGGTAGTTTGGTGTTTAATTCTGTAGATTTTGTTGTCTGAAATCTATTGATTTTTGTGAAGTGTAGGTTATCGATGTTTTGGTCGTTTAGGGTTTCTAGTATTGTGTCTGTGTTATAGTCGCCTTCTAGGTCTTTGAGGATTATTATTTGGTGTTTTTCGTATTTTGGGGTGTATGTGTAGTAATTTATTTGTTTGTTTTTTAATAATTTGATAATTATATTGTAGTCTTCCGGTGTTTCTATGTATAAATTATGTGTGTTTGCTGAGGTTTTTTTTGTGCGGAAATTTCCTTTTATTTTAATACCGCTTGTGAGGATCGTATTGATCGTGTCTGCGCACTTTGATTTAGAGTGATTATTGGAAGGGGTTTGGTATTTCTGACCTGTGTCGTGTCGTATTGCTTGCGTTCTGGCCTCGCCTGCGACGTAGATGGTGTGGGCTCTTTTGTTTTGGCGAGAGTGGTGGTGACTTTCCGTGTGGCCGGTGTGTCCGTTCTGCGTTGGCTTCCACTATCTTTTACATTTGGGATCGCTGGGTATTCCCGATCATAAAGTGCCTTGTCCTTTTCGGTACCTGGGCTGGTTTCTTCTTGTTGTGTTGCCTTTGATAGAAGCGTTTCTATTAATTTTCTCTGCTCCTCATTCTGTCGGCGTAGCTCTTCGTTTTGAATTTTTAGTTCTTCTATGAGACCCTCCATTGTTTTTAATTTGTTTGCATCCTCACTGGGGGATGCGGCCATTTTGTTTTTTGATTCCAGAGCATCACTGTTGCTCCTTGCTAATTTCGTAGCTGTTTTTGGGGGAGTTTGCTGCTTCCTTTTGGTGGGAGCCTTTTGTAAGAGGACTTCTATTTCCATCTGGCTGAGCGATCCCCGTTTTTCTTTCTTTAATAATTTTTCGAACGTTTCTTGTGGTATTGTTTCTTGTTTATTCATTTTGTTGGTGTCTTGAAGGCTCACTGGTGTAGATTATATTTCTGAATTGGTGCCTGCGATATTTCCGCATGGCTCTATTGTCGATGTGTCCTCTATTTTGTTTTTTTTTTTTTCTTTTGTGGTATGTTTATTTTGCTAACGATGATAATGTTCTTCTGTTTTGTCACTGGGTGACAGTGCGTTGCGGATCTTAATCACTGTAACACTCTTGCTCACTAATTTTCCTAACGATGTTGCCTGCTCGGCATTTTTTTTAGCCACTAGACCATACCGGATTAGATTCTACCATTACCTGTTACATCAAATATAAATAACAACAGTGTATAATTGTACATACAAATATTTGTTATAAAATTATAAAATGATGTTGCATTATTATATCAGATATACTAAATGAAATCTCTACATCTTCACGTTAAATGTTATTCACAGTTCTCTAATATGTTTAATTATTATTGAACTAAATAATTAAAATATAAGGAAAAAAAAATTATTTCGTTCGAATTCTGACTCTGATAACTCTTAAAGTGATTCGTGAATAATTAACACATTATCTCTTCATATTTATAAAGAGAAAAAAATAAATCCTCTGTAACGAGAATCGAACTCGAGATGCTTGTGTTGCTATGATTTGAAAATTGTCACCTGGGTTCTTGTAAAATAATCGAAACACCGGATGTTTCTTGTAGGAAAAATGTTTAGAAAAATTGCAAAAGAATTTGTCAGAAGTGGGATTCGAACCCACGCCCTCAGAGAGGACCAGAACGCTCTGTAAAACTCAGTTTTGAACTGAGAAGGTTATCACCTTGAGTCTGGCGCCTTAGACCGCTCGGCCATCCTGACACTCGATTCCGAAGTCTCTTAAAATTCATCACAAGTCTGCTTTAGCACAATATATCATATCGTATCTTTAATTAAATAAAATATAAATTACAAACATAACTGAGTCATTTTCTTAATTTCGTTAATTTTAGAAAATTTAAAAAAATGTTTGTAAAATTGATCAAAGTGA